ATCAACTCAAATCCGCTTTATAAAAAAAAACTCAAAATTTGGATACATTACTACCCAAGAATGGATTTACACCGTCTCATCAATTAAAACGACCAATACATTTGAATATCATCCTCTCCCACGATCAACGCTCTGTAGATCTTTGTAAATTTATATGTTTGAGTTTATGTTTGCAAGAATGTATCTAAGTATATGTATGTATATGTAGGTTGTGTATATGCGTGTGTATATATGTATTCTATTCCATTCACAAAACATGTTTCCCTACGTCAATACTATATTTGATTATTTTACACATTGCTTCCATTTTAATCTTTTTTGAATGAATCAAATACTCACGCTCAAGGCTTTTCCTTATGTGGGGTTTGATTTGTTCACTATCTTTTGTTAATGGGTGGATGCATGTATATGTGTGCATATGTGTATGCATATATATGTATGTATATGTGTATATATGGGAATCTAATAAATATCACGCACAAGCTCTGTGAGCTTCAGTGATTTGTTATGTTTATTTCTTTACTTGTTGAATGTTTGTCCAGTCAAATGCACTACAAATCAGATCAATAAACCCAACCAATAAAAAAGATGCCACACCCAGCAATACTGAGTTCGTTGCCTTTATCAAAGAATGCTTTCGAAAGGAAAGAATATGGCGAAACTATCAGAGAGAGCCTAAGGTCCGCTAAGGACACGTAGCGCCTACGGAGAGATCCAGATACTTGACAGAATTGTCCAAGGAATTGTGTTGCGTCTATTATCTCATAGCCTTTAATATATAATAGCTATCGCAGTTGACTACGGCTGACAAACCCAGGAAATAATAAGCTGTGATGCAGTTTTTAAGATTATTTACGAATATCCCAGCTCTATTGACAGTGTGTTCACTGAATCGGCTCTGGAACAGCAATTAGGCCTATTTTTGGAACAAACAAAATTGTTGAATTTGAAACGAAACCAATCTACATGACGTTAGCCAGGCCATCACTGTCAACGGCGAGCACTATATGTCGATGATTACCAACATCTTTTGGGCTGAATTGAATGATATAGGCACAAACGATATGTAATCTAAACAGGACAGATCTACATGCCACAAAGCTCATGCCACACTGTATATGTTACATGTTGTGAACATGGGAAGCGCCTAATAAAAAACCCTATATCATGATGCAGTTATAATTCTTCTTAAATACCTAGTGTTGAGACGGGATCTTATATTTCAGATGACCCATTAACATGAAGACACATTGTTAAAGATTCATTTATAAAAAATCTAAGAACAAAGGGAAAAGAGTATCATATGAAAATCTGTATTATTGAGGTAAGAACTCAAAGTGTGTGAGTTTATGATGAGGTAGTTTTCCATTCTTGTCGAACAGTGACTCCTAATTTAAATCGGCGTCGTCTTGGCCAGCACATAATGTTTAAAGAACAAACAAATTGAGATCCGCCTTTCTATAGCTACACGCATGTATTCAGTCAGTTTTGCATCTGCACGAGATGGTTTTGCGAATGTTAGAAGGAGCAGCATCTCCTTATGGACTCTCAACCTCAAGTCCATAACCTGGAGGTATGTCCCTAGTGGTTGAAGCTAGTGTGGCTAGATTGGGATTGTAGTAACTGGTCTCGAATCTGCTATAACAATGGCAGCGCGACTGTTGTCTACTGTCACTATACAAGGACACTTAGCCTCTCTCTTGCTTCCGACATTTCTTTGTGATTCATCTCTGAGCTTCTCCATCTACTAGAGCAATGATGGATCTTTCATAAAAAGTTGTCAGACTGTTTTTTGATGACGAAACACAAGCATTACAGGAAACTCCGTTGGATTTGAAACGCTAGAGATTTAATCCATTTGGGAAAACGTTGAGCATCAAAACGATAAGCAGTCACAGTCCGTCGCGTATTTCTGATATGTACCGCTATACAAAAAAGAGACAAATCTCCAACTTTTCTTCGATGTTCCAGACCATCAAGGTTGTAAGTGATGTTCGCGTCTCCAGTCAGACGAATGGCTATTTTCTGGATTGAATCCAGCAGCTTCAGACTCTATGAACTGTCAGAAATAGTGGTTTTCGAAAAACTTCTCCAGGATGATGCCCTTGAACCAGCCCCCACCTGGAGATCCGATTGGGGAGCTATTTTTTACCTCCGGAGTATTTTGATTCTGCGCCATCATGTATTCCTACCCTTGAAACTGAAAACAGCGTCACAGCAACGAAAGGTTAGCTCAAAAGCAACTCTACGTTGCCTACGCCTACTTTTGGGAGCGGCGTTGACCTCTGATATTCATGGATTCTGTCGCTCCCACAGATGGTGTCTTAGCAATGCCTCCACTTCAGGTTCTCTCTAGTAAGATCAATGGAACTTAATGGATGCTCAACATCAGCATACGCATCCTCATTAATACGCGATCTCCAAACCTGAGAGCGAGATATGTGTCAATAACTATTTTGACGTGGCATTTTCCGCTTTATTCCATCGACAGACAAAGCTGTTAATTATTGAAACGTACACTGGAGTACATGTTAGGTTCGAAGTTACGCAAACAATATTTTTCAAGTGTTTACGCGAAATTTGTTGCGGTAGGCTCCAGGTATAATCATAGTACGCGTATAATTCAAAAATGATTTAACCTTGTTTATCTCGACGCGATGTTTATTAGCAAATTGCGCTTGTTGATCGGTTGGGTTTTTTTTTACCTCGGAGTTGTTTTTTTCCGGGATATTTCGAAGGTTTTTCGTTAATGGATGTGTTGAAACACAACGGCTCGTGGGCTCCAATAGCTCCAGTAATGAAAAGTTCACCTTCCTCGTAACTTTTGAACGGGAAAAGATTTCAAGGTCGGACAGTTAACATTGAATTTTAAGACTTTTGAATATCAACTAGCTGATGACCTGAACTTTGTACCGTCCTAGAATCACTATTCACTTCTTAATATCGTTTTCGGCAAGCACGAAGTCGAGACATACTAAATTATGTATCAGAAAAACAATAGATTTTTTGTAGACACATACTGTATACATGGTAATTTCAACTTTTCATAGTGTCTCATTAGCAGTTTTTAAATTCTCTAGGGTGTAACTAAATGAGTGTAAAACATTTGAGGAGGTGATTCCTNTTAAGATACAGCCCCTTGAAGGGGGTACATAAAATTTGTATAACTATTTTTTTCACAAGCACTGATAAAGTTACAATATTGAAATTAACCTGACGTTTTGTTTCAAAAGTTATTGCGTTTTTCCGGGCGCTAGTTTATTTTTTGAAAGAACTATTCGGGAGTTATTAGCGATTTAATTCAAAACTCACTTCAATTCAAGACTAACCCACAAAGTGTACGGAAAACGCACGTACACAGATAAATAGATACCTTCAGGCACTATTAAATAAAAGAGAGGAGTCATCTCTACTATAACTGAACGAACTCGGAGGAAATGTGAACCAGAGCATCTCAAGGATGAACTGGAACGTCTCCAAGTGACTTCGGGATCGAATGGATACAGTGTCCCTATTATCAACAAGGCCATGAAACCGAAGAGTTACACGGTTCAAAACGGGGAGGAGGCTCTTATGGTGGCACGTGCGTCTCTACCATATATCCCTGGGGTCACAGACAGAATTGAAAAACTCTTGGGGTAGGAAGTGGGTGTATTCTATCCTCCATCGCAACATGCAAGGGTTTATTGTGGCTCATCATCATTGAGGTAGTCGGATGGTAAAGGTACAAGAATCCCATCTTGATACCTGCGACAACCTTCCATATGAGGGGTTTTGAATGTCAGCTACACCTCACGATGCCTTAGATTCAATCGTGTAGGGGTTTTTCGCCTCTGGTTTTGGTGAATCGGCACAAACGTTTGCTAACCTGGTCATGGGGGTTTGTTCCTCCACAGATTCTGCGTACGCCGCTCAAGAATTTGGTGGAGGGCGGTTTCATAAGGTACCCCGCTCTTGAGCAGTCGACTCAGTCGTTTCCTGGCTGTGCCACCAAACCTTTTTTTTTTAGGTTCAGTCATTGGATCAGGGGTAACAATATTAAAAATGGATGTCAAACCCACAACATAAATGCAACAAAGTCTCAGGTCGGGTAAAAACAAGAGAGACCCAATATCAGAAGCAGGAGTGTATCGCATACCGTGCACTTGTGGAAAGGTTTACATCGGAACGACCAAAAGATCCATGGAAACAAGACTGAAGGAGCATGAACAGCAGACGACAGGTAGAAAAGAATCGATGGATGGTATTGACAATTTACCTAATCCAGGTACAGATATAAGCCCACCAAACTACCTAAGTCAACATAAATACGTCTTACGCAGCCGTAATATCCTGTCGTTGGAGATAACTGAGGATGTAGCTAGCCGATCGACCGCCTCTAAACCCAGCATTCTCTTTCTGATAATTACGAGGATAATAATGAAGTCTGTTTGCTTATTCACTTTTTACATTGTGGAATATTTCAGAGATAATTCAGTAGCAAGCAACTGTTGGATTCTGGATTGGACTATGAAAATTCTAAGGGAGTGATGTCAGGTGATTCAGCTGGACCACTTCCTTCAATCAACCAGTGTGATGATTGTTATTCACGACTCGTTTTTAATGGGTTACATATGCATGTATTAGACTACATGCATATGCACGCTTAGTTGGACAAGAGAGATAAACCACAAACAATCTCCTGAAGTGGCTTTCAGGAATAAATCAAGAAAGATCGGTCTTTTTGTTAGCCTTGAAAATGTTTTTTCTCAAATCGAACTTTTGGAACTTCTCAATCAATTCGTAACTTGTATAATTGCGATAATATTTTATCTCCAGACTACTTATCTACTAATCAAATTCTCTTACCTACCTCAATATTTTTGTAATCTACCGCTTTAAAAAAAGTGCAGTTTGAGATAAGGTGTTTTTAAAATTATATTTATCGTTAAAGATAATGCCGCACTCCATATTATCTATTTTAATGAAGGAATTCGTTTGAATCATTTCATTTTGGCCCGCGAGAATCGACAGTTGTGTTTTTTGGATCTTCATAATCTTCAAAAGCACCAATGCTCGTTGATTATGGTACGTTATTTCTTCTCATTATTTGCTTTCGAATATATTTTGAATAACTGACTACTGAGTGATATCAGTTTTGTTGCTCTTCATTAACGGTGCTATTTATTTTTTGTTCGAAATGAAGGATTTCAAAAGAAATTCAGTATAAAGTTCGTTGAAGAAAATATTCAACGGTTCGAATGAAATATTTCTTTATCAAGTTTTGACAGATGCTTGATTGAATATTGAAAAAACAGTGAGCAAAACCTTGAGATTTGATAGAACTTCGCGTGCTTTTTTTGTCATGGCTCTTCTGGGCGCTTCCATTGGTACTTTTGGACTTTGGTTTCGATCTCTTTACCATATACCTATAATTTGTCACCAGTTTTGATCTTTTGAGCAAATTTGTATTGCCGTTGGCATCATTTAACAGTTCCTGAGCAATGCTTATGCGACGAAATAGACTAATCAAACAGCAGAAAGAAGTGGTTCAAAAGAACCTATAATAGTAGTAGCACTTCAACTAGGCCTTCAAAAGGTTCCCATTCCAACAACAAAACGATGTGTTTCAAAATATTGCTACTTGTCCTCGAACCAGCTCGTAAGTTTTCATCCGAATCAAGATAATTAACTGTTGAGTAAATCTCCTCAGTAGCGCATGATTTCAATCAGTACACAATTTCTAAATCTATTTTAATTACGGTATTTACTCAGTTTCAAGTTTAATTCGAACAGATGATCTTGGATTTCTAGAAGAGTAACGTGACGATCGATGTTAGTATAAATTATCGCAATTAGAAATGTCACTCCGTTTAGCTGGCTGCACGCTGTGATATGTTTTATACAGACCGGACGATATCTGCCATCTGACTGGCACCGCGAGAAGATTTTACTGTTTCTGACACATATTTATTTATCGTATAGGTTCAGAAACTGTATTTTTTCTTGATGGGATCGTTTATGAAGATACAGTTTTTTATTCGGGAGCAATAATTCAAATAGAAAACATACAGTGCGGACGTGCAAATTCTCCACCTCTTATTTTTTTAAATGTGGAAGAAATCAATTAACCTTTCCGATACCCTTTTCTTGAAATTATCTCGTTGTGATAATCACCTCGATTATAATTTGATTTTCAGGTTTTTTTAGATCTCCTACCTCTTGAAAACAATAGGTCGACATTCTTCTCTATATGTCAGCATTTTCTTCAAGAATTATATCTTGAGTAGTCGAATAGGCTGGCTTGCCGTCAATACCTTCAAAGTTGAACTACAACATTGGCTACAATTTCACTTATAATTACAATTTCTGCTTACGTTCGCAAGAGGAATTCTCATTCCATCTGCCATTGCTTTCACTTGCATCAATCTTATATAATTCTGTTCATTTCTCTGCTATGTCCACTGAGAACCTCGTTTTTAGTTCATTGTTCAGAAGCATTTCCAGACAACAAATCACTCATAGTTCACTACAAAGAATAATTTCCCCACTAACTGTACTATCATGATGCTTACTACACGAGTTCCTCGATGGTAATGAAGTCGCGCCCCACTTCTCCAGCTGATCTACTGCGCATCCCGTAGTCAGAGGCAAAGTTAGATTTGCCAGGCTGATGAAAACCATAAAATAGCATCACTTGTTGCCAAGGGGGGGATATAAACGCTCCGCCTTATACAAGGCACACAATGCGACAGGACGGGAACACGCAGGGACGGGTACATGACGTGAGGTTTCGTTTCTTTTCTTATGTGGGGGCGCGCACTAAGGCAGGCAACAAACAGGCACGTGCCAGAGCGGGAACAGGTCCCAGATCGTCCTCCCACCCCTGCTCCTTTCCTCCTCCAAAGCATGCTTGATCATGGATTTCAGTGCCCTACAAATATTGACACGTCTTTGGAGAATTGCGAGGGGAAATTAGTATGTCTTATCCAACTATACCCTGTATAGTATGATTTGTCCAATAAATTATATCCTCCCCACTTGATGTGGTGTCAGAATCCAGCAGGGAAGTCATGGTGAACAACACTAGTATTGAGCTATTGAATATGGGTGGGGAAATAGGAAGAGGAACCGAGCAGAAAGGAATGGAAGAACGTGGGAGACAGGACGCGGCATTCTCCTTGCCGTGGTGTGCCAAGAAGGCAAAGGACAGGCAGCGCCCCGTCGTGTTCCAGTCCTGTGCCGTTCTGCGGTACTGTGCGCATTTTAACGCGGCATTACTATGGCAATATCCCAAAGGTTAGCTAGTGACACTGAGTGGACTCGCAGTCATTCATTCTTTTAGCACACCTTAGAAGGCCCCCATAAAGGAGGACACGGGTGACATCTCCCGCTGCAGATTGGTAACTTCATTCATAATTGTTTCATTACCCAAGTTATAAGAGAACCCTCTGTTAATTTAAAACATCCCCTGACCCCACCGTTTGGCGCATCCGCTGTCGCATAGATTTACGACACAATTACCAACATGCAAAAACTATTTGCTGACGATTACGCACATAAATATCTGTCAATTAACACAGTTTCGAACTTTTTTCAACATTGAACTGATAATTGCAAACTTTGTACGAGTTATTTTAATAATCACTCGCGATGGTTAATAACAGTAAATTATACTTGTCATGCAGATACGAAACTAAGAATTTATGACTTTTCGGCGCATACCGTACGATGCATTAAGGATATGCGTCGCTGTTGCCAACATCACTGGGTCAAGTCCAAATTTATTTCCATGTACGAGCGAATTTATGTCGCTGTGAACAGGACGGAAAATGCTGGAGTTCAGTTCCGCAATATCGACGCAAATGGATAAATGTTTGGAAAATTTTCTCGTTTAAAACAATTTTTCCGTTCAAGTTCATCATCCAGACAAACAATACAGGGTTTTTGTTTGGCAAAACCTAAAGCATTGGCAATGACAAGTTCTGGTCCAATGAAACTGCTTGCAGCGCCCTCTCTTCCCAAGCAAGGTAGTGAGCAGTTTCATTAGGTTACGGTAAGTGTGACCAAAATGCCAAACCAGGGCGAATTTGTTTAGTCTTTCTATTGATGATTTTTTTGCAGTTTAATACAAACTTGGACATAACTCGATCAGAGCTTAGTGTTTTCAGAAGACATTCGACTCCCTGAGTGGCAATTTATTGGTTTATATGCACCAGAAACTGAAGAAGTTTTAAATCCATCCTGAAACAACAGCTATTTGCACTTACATTCCTTACTCCCGGCGTATCCAGTTCTCTCCACTAAAAATTAGTTCTGTCTCTGTAGTATAAATAAGAGGCATCAGAGGTTATTTCCAGAATGCTTTAACTTTCTGTTTCAACCAGCATGAATGTACTAATGCGTTGTCCATCTAGCCTCTCTCTCCACAAAGATGCTAAGTGGAGGTTGCTTTGGAAGGAAATCCACAACCAAAGATGACTGGTGCAGATGACACCAGACAAACCCAAGCACACCCGTATCCTGAACTGTTTGCTGTAAAAGTCCCCTACGCACTTGATCAGTGGGCTGAGAATCATCACATATCTGTATCTGCATCTTTAGAGTAGGGAGGGTGAGTGTAGGTCCACAGCACTTAGGCCACATGTGATCCGTTGTACATCCTCCCAAGGAATTGTCCTCCATCGTCCATCCTGTCCATTTCAGGAAGGTGGACAGGTCTCTGGGACAGTTTCATCTTCCTGTTCACACGTCCTGCATAGAGGTGTGTCCACTAGCCCCATATTGTGGAGGTGTTTCCTTAGTTGACAGTGGCCAGTCAGAAATCCTACTGTTGAGCGTAGATTTTTCCTGGTCATCGCCAGATATTTCTTCGGCACCAGCTTCCTAGGGTCGCCCAAGGTGATCCTGGCAAAATTGCATCCTTTGATTTTATCCCATCTCTTTAGGGATTGAGCTTGGGTGGAGTGACGTTCGGCTAGTTCCGCAATTGTCGAATTCATCAGGCCGTATGTGCCACTGGATCCTGAAATTCTTAGTCCAGCTGCTTCCTTGTCTAAAGAGTCGGCAATGCAATTTCCTTTACTCCTGTCCTGCCCTTTGATCCACCTCAGGATAATGTTATTATCTACCGAAGCTTTGGCTCAGCCTCTATTGACCCATTCCTACTTCAAGCCTCAAGATTTTGTCATGTTCATGGAGATATTCCGATTTTGTGCGTTCATTATCGAGAATTATAGTAGAGTATTCACTCTGCAAATGAGGCAACCTCATTATTGGAAAAAGTAAAGGTAGATCATCCAGGTTCCTCCTCCAGGTGGAAGGGACCCTTACAGTTCTGCTGGGGTTTGCAGACATCTGATCCATGTGTTACTAACCATGAACAATGTCCTTTGAATGATGTAACAGGCTACTATGTCCAACGTGGTTCTTGCCAAGATGACAATTTACTCTGCCTAGGCCAGTAGATTAATCTTCTTTCTGTCGAGGATATCAAACGAACCATGTATCAGGAATGACGACCATGTATCATGGAAAATAGCGGAGTGCTAGCTCTGTATGTATTTGAGTTTTGAAACATTCAGTCAATCTTACTGAGCCGATGTGCTTCACAATTAATTACCGTTTTTCTTTCAAATTGACGATTCAAAGGAGAAATCAATGTAATTTCGCAAACTGTCTATTTTCAAAAGGCTGTCGATTTGATTTATACCCATGTATCATTGGTCATTTGTTGTACAGATGCAGTTGATGTCATTTAATTCAGATTGATTTGAAAATTTTCTTCACTGCTGATCAGGTCGATCTTTGTAGGTCCTACCCATTTGATTGGTATCACTACAAAATTCTATAATTCGATCAATAACCCTGAACTTTGTGAAGATTTAATGTCCAAAATTGATGTTAACTGCCTCGACAATTCTCTACATCATTGTTCCTTACATTGTTATAACTACCAAACAAATGTATAATAATTTTCCTGTAATGGGGTGTTTCACCTGTTGGAAATATATATCTTTTTATCTATCTGTCTAACATGATATATATTCGAACGAATATTCCAGAATAAATAAACTAATCGCTCATTT